AGTGATCGGTATCGGTGATCGGCCCTCATAAGTGATCGGTATCGGCAGGAAAAAACCTGATCGGCACATCTCTAGACAATTACAAACAGAGGAAGCGAGAAAGGAGGAAGAGACGATGGAGAGGAAAGGAGGGACAGAGAGAAGATTTGGGGAGGAGAGAAAAAAATTCAACTAATTAAAAACAAGAACTGCAGCTGTGGAGGTTTCCACTTTACTCTTTTGGGAGGAAACAGATAACTTCAATCATAAATTATAATCTCTTCCTGATCATATAGTCCTCCCATTTATCAGAGGAAGGAAGTGTCTCTGAAGGACAGAGATTCAAAAAAACAAAAAAAAAATAAAAACAAACTGAGCTACACCACAAAACACGCATTGAGCTGACGAGAGCTTCAAGGTTTAAACAGAGCAAAACAAAAGAGTCCAGTATGAATGCCGCCGCCGCCTCTCACGGCGTCTGTGTTTGTGTGTTTGGCAGACAGGGCCCCAGATTACAGGAGCCAGTCGAGACCAAGCAGTGATTACAGAGCCACACACATACACACGCAAACACACACACGAGTCTGGTGCTGGAGCGAGATCCACTCAATGACACAGCACTTCCACAAAACACACCAATCACCTGCTTATTTGGGTCTTACTAGCATCGCCGGGCTCTGCAGCTGCAGGTCTTTGCGGTCCAGTTTTTTGTTGGACAGAGTGCTACCGGCAGATGATTTGTTGCCCCGCTTCCACTTTTCTAACCGCACGGAGAATTCCCAGTTGTGTGAAAATTAACATACGGAAACATTTGCTGCTATTAATTCACCTTGATGGAAAGGCCCTGTGGAAGCGGAGGCAGATGTGGAAGAGGTAGCCATGGTGACCACCGCTGAGGGCAACGGTTTCCCTGACGAGGTGAGAGACTTGCGGCCGCCTCTCTGTCCGACCGTGTGAGCGCCGCCGCTGTTCTTCTTGTTCTTGCCCTCGGCCGCCGCCTTGATCGTGTCTGCGGCCAAGCCATCTTTGGAGGCTCCCCCGGAGAGTGCGGACGACACTTCCTGGAAGTTGGCGTTGGTGAAGCGGCCCGTGTTGTCGTCCAGTCGCTTCTGAGAGGACGCGGGCAGCGAGGTTACTCCTCCACCAGAGGCGGTGCTGTTATAGGCCTGGGGGATGGAGGGAAGAAGGGAAAGACAAGGGGGGAAAACGGTGAGGACAACAAAAATTTTGTGAGAAACCATGACAGGCACCAAAAACAACAAAAAAACAAAACAGAACCTAGAGTAAGGAACTCAGACGTGCGGTATCAAGTCAAACTTAGTTCTTTTTAATACCTTTTAATGCCACCTTGAGTGAAATTAAAGACTGAAAAAATTATAAACATAAGGAATGGTTGCGGGAGTCTGCTTTGTTACAATCAAGCATAGCAAAATCCACACCACATAATAAGTAACAAAAGTGTGTATGATTTGTGCTAATGTTGTATCGGGTCAATGTCCGTATCAGGCACAGAAAAAACAGCAAACTTTCTGGGGACTCTGTGTTTCTCGCATTGCATAAATCTCTCTACAGTCTTCATAACCAAAGGGTGAAGCTTAAAATTTTTTTTTGTTTTTCTTGCACAGAATACACCTGACCTCGTGTCAGTTGGCAACAGAAATGAACCAGTGGTAAAAAGTAACATCATCTGGCCGACTGGTGATAAATTTGCACTTATTATAGAAGAAAAAAGGTAGCTAGCTAGTGAGCAGGGGTATATAAGCAACTAGCTAGCAGTAGCTTCAACCCCTTGGAGTTACAGAAAGCAATGAAGATGTTTGAACGCAACTTATTGGAAATGTTTGCCTGATAGAAAAGTCCAGCGAAAAGAAAACTATGTATACATGATTACAGAATCCTGCCACGACAATATTTTATACCTGTGATTAACCCATTTAAGGTTAACTTAATTTTTTTTTTAATGAATTCAAGGCATTTTAAGGCTTTAATTTTAGATACTTGAATTTAAAACATTTTTAAGGACACCCTGAAGAACCAAGAAGAAAACAGCACTCCAACTAGCGCTGCACAACATAGGTAAAACTTAGTTATACTTATTGTTCTTGACCACTGTTCTCGGTTTATCACTTTATGCTGTCGCATCGGGTCAATATCGGTTTTGCATCGAAAGTTAAAACGTTGTTCTGGGACACTAAAAGCTAAAAAATATTACTAAAGTTTGTTAGAAATATAGAGCAGATATTCTTCACCAACGTTTTTGTTTTGTTTTTTAATCACAAAACTAGCCTGGATGGTGGATAAATGATAAGATGGACTGTTGATAAACTGATAGATGGATAGACAAATGGATGATGGGAGGATGAATGGATGGATGGATGAAAAATGCTCTCACCTTTTCGGGGACCATGATGTTTGGAAGAACGAGAGAGGGCGACATGTCCATGGAGCCTTTCTTGTGTTTTGGTTTGTGTCTGTCTCGCTCCTTGTGTTTCTGACCATGTGGAGTAAGGAAACAAAAACAAAAACAAAAAAAAACACACAAAAAATCAACAACAGATGAGTGAAGGGAATGTTCATAAATATTGAACACTAGTGCAAAATCTTATCACTGAAACATTCGGGAAGCATGTCTGTAAGAAATATTTGGAGGATGACCAGAAAATTTGGTCAGGTATAAAAAATTATCAGAATAGAAATAACAGAAAGAAAAGCATTGCTGCATTTTAATGGCTCAATCTGGAGATTAAAGCCCAGACAGCCACAAAAACAAAGAGACTGATGGAGGACAGATAAAAAGGGGTGTTTAACATGCTGCTGTATAGAGAAGAGAGTACTAAGTGGCTTGTGCCGAACCGCTCAGGGTCTTCCCGTTTCAGCCAATCATATCGTTCCTCTCAGACCATCAAAGCTCAATTTACACCTCCGCCGGCGCACGCAGACACCGTCACCCTCCTCTCGCACCAAAGGTGGCGACTGGGCGCCAGCACATTTACACCTCGCCGCGTGCACGACCCACACCGCCACACATTTTTCTGCGTATGCGTACACACACAGACATGGTGCACGAGCTCTTCGAACGCACACTTGTGCGCGTGTGCAGACGCGCGTAGTCCGGAGAATATGGTGAAAATATGCGAAAGATCCCGAGAAGCGGCGAGGGACTCAGCATGTTTGGGACGTTCTGACACATATGAAACAGCAGAAACGGGCCCTTCCCCCCACCAGAACACGGCTCTCTCTCTCCCCACAGGGTTTTATTAAAGGCTGACTGCATGGAGGCTTGTGACAGTTTAGCCAGACTTCCTTCATGAGTGGCGGTTAACAGAATCCACAGCCGAGTCAGGAGATAGCAGCTTTGTTGAGTTCCCTCTGCATGCTGGCTTCCGATAACGCTGAAGGGTGAGAGTTAAGAGTCACATCTGGATGTTCTGATGAGGCGGCGTAAAGAATATTGCCCGTCTAAAATCGTTGGGAGGGGAGGGGGGGGGGGGGGGGTGAAAAAGTATTTTATTTTTTTGGGAGTTTTTTTTTTTTTTTTGGCTAGCTTTTAATTTTG